CCATGCTGCCATAATAACTACCTATGCACCAGCTACTAGATCTACCATACTACATAGCTGAGCATAACACGTGGACCAACTTCTTAAATATTGCGACATTTGACCGAACTTGGCTCTGGATGACTAGGGCTGCCCATAAGTAAATCATAATATAATGCTCATGTAGAAAATGAAAAGAGAGGCAAATAGAATATATTAAATTGCGATACCAAACCCCTGGTTACAGACAGTCCCGTATTATCTTTCTTCATTCCCAGTATCATTGTCGTAGTCTTGGTCATCTTACGTATTATGTATTATCGGAAGCGTATCTTTGACGAAGGGGGAGATAACTCAGCTCAAAGTTGAAAAGGTATTACTCAATCTTGGCTCTGCAGACTCTATAGTGAGAGCTGAAGGTTCGTAGGGGACACTACCGACAGTTGTTGAGAATAGTCCCCTTAGAATTGGTAATTGAGAGGCTGAAAATTTGGTCAATCCTAATTTATTTACCTTAATTTATTTAGAGTTACCTACATATAAAAGTACAAACTTTTCCACAAAATCTTAATGCGCCCTATATGCAATAATATCATCAGCTAGTCGCATAACGTTTTCGTGTGAGGAATTGCACCTGTCTATGATTGATGAGATCACCTTTAAAATAGCACTACGAAGATGCGTCTTATTATCACATCCAGTCGTTTATTAGCTTCTACAGCTTTATTACTTTTGACCTTGCCCCACAGTGAAACATTCTATGCTTCTCTCATATATTTACTGGCTTAGCACTTAGATATAGACCAACCTTGCCCTGTAGCCATCGTGTCCTTGGCTGCGGAGACCGAGTTGGAGACGGGCATACTGACTTCACCTTCAGATATCACGATATTTGCGAAGGTTCTGAAATCCTCTCTTTCGGTAGCAAGTCATTTCGGCTTTGAATTTTGGAGTGGGTCGGTGGCTTGGTTGAATATTATGGATAGGTTCCAGCTAGTTCGTAGCATTCAAGGGTAGCCTGGACCACATGAAGTGTTGGTTATTTGTATCTAGCCTTGAGAAAGGCTTGAGCCTATTGATAGATGATATTAGGATGAGATCTCTTTAGACTAGACACGGACTAAAAATATTAAACTTAATTTCCCAGACAGCCATCGCGTTACAAACTCTCCCATGCATTTCATCGGGTGATTTTGACTTTACTCAGAGGTATGATCTCACTTCTAGGCTCGTGTAGAATGCTGTTGACAGTAGTGTGAGCTTCATCTACTAAAGGTTGTCAGCAACAAGTGACTTTGCATTTTTTTGACTCATAGCATTAGAATGTTTGATTACACGTCGTGCTGGCACTCGCGTTGGCCCATTGCGTCTTCTCCAATGATTCCTGCTAGCTTTGTGATGTACATTACTCGACTCTTTTGGATCCCTAATGGGGAGAGCCTGTAGGGATCAGATATGTCGTGAATGTTGGAATTACTTCTTTTATGTGCTTTGCTGGCTCATCAAACTCAAACTTACGGGGTTGACTCGAATCTTATCGTTCGCAACTTCAGATTAGCAGGGGGGTGTCGTACTGCCGGGTACATACGGTCCGCTCCCGTTAGGGCGGGGATGGTGAGGGCCGACAATCTTCCCCTGGTATCCAGGCACCCCACATAATATTTCAGCTGCAAACTCTAAATCGCAAACTAAATTTTTTGTCGGCGGGTAATTAGCCTGTTTCCGCTGCAGCTCGTAATGTATGCAAAAAATGTTACAGCGAGACGAGCAATCGTACCACATTATGGGGACAGCTATTTATAAGCCCATGACTTTTCCACTTACGCGTGCATGAATGACAGGCCAGTCTTTTTCACCCGCACCATCAACGCTCAAGATAGCTAAAAATATAATGTGCGCCAGGAAGAATTCGGCCAAGTGGTCACCAGCCGGATCGCAAGCCATCAAGGAGAATCGAGCCTTAATTCGCGGTAACAAATTATGATGAGACATATATGCGCCTTGTGATGGTAGCTAGATTTGAAACGGCGTATGAGTTGCACGGCGGCTCTAGGATTTGCTGACTTGCTTTGCTTCTATTTTGCGTAGGTTAGTGGACGAGATGTGCATTTCGCTACACAATTAGCGAAATGTCGCTTGTGCCTGACCAATGGTTGTGACCATGCAGCTACCAACAATCTCGTACTGATCGGTGCTGAAGCTGCCCTAGACGCAGGCCAAAATCCTCACGCCAACTTTAGGCCGAGTGGCACTGCGGTATACCCTCCCGGTTACGATCCTTGCTCAGTTCTGGAAGGTGACGTGTCAATTTTCCTTTTCGAGATAGCCGAGGGCCGATTTAGCTGGAACAAGTGCCAGTCATTGTGGCACTACGTCTTGGTGGAGAGAGAGACCAGCATGTTTACCGTGCCAGAGGAGACCCGGAATACCTCTTCAACAGGTGCAGGCTATGAACGAGGGCGTAATGCTTTCTGCAGGCAAGCTCGGGCCTTGATACTGGCGAGATCCCTAATTACTGAAGGTAGCTAAGCCGATATTATCCCTCTACTATGCCGAATAACCGTGAAAGAAATGAGCCACAACTTGGTTCAGATGTTATGGAATAGGGAAAGAATAGAATATGTATCGCCAGCAACGGAGAGACACTTATAAGTTAAGGCCTACATAGATCCACACTGCACCACACGTAGGTGCTGTGGGTCCCGTCGTTCGGAGGAATTTTTTGATGCTGTGCTAGAGAACAGAATGGCGGTAGAGTCGAGGTGAACAACACCATTATGACGCAAACTAATCAAGACAACGGCTCTCTTCTTCATAGACACCATCGGAGTTGACAATTTAAAACAAGCCTTGTCCGTACACCTATCGTCACACCATGCCCAACCTCAAGTCAGTAACTCCATCGTCAAGTTCCTTGGCCGTGCAACCAGCAGCTCAGAGGAACAAATCAAGACTAGTATAACTTGAACCGTGGTCTCGGCAAGGAGGCATCTTGAAGCGGGAAGCAGAATGAAATTCTGGACCCTCTCTCTGGATTAAGGTCCTGATAGCTTGAACTACAGGATGATTCGAAAGTAGAGTCTAGAAGAGGGTGGGAGAAGCGTCTAGGAGATAATCATGTCACTGACAAAGAGTTCATGCCGACCAGAAGTTGCCGTAGCCTGACCATAATAGTCGTGACCCGGCAGCATCAAGATCTACCATGCGTGGGACCACGTTGGTGCATGAGCCCAGATTATGAGCAGAGAGCATTGGCGATTGGTTGCCGTATAGACGAATATGATGGTGTAGAGGATACGTCAGTAGTCTCGAGTTGCGTTGGGTAGGAGGGCATGATGTGTGAGGACATCTACCGTCTAGCTGGTCGCAGGCAATCTCAGCGAAGGAGCATGAAGTCTGCCAACCTTCGTCGCACCGCACCGCACACGCTACACCAGTCCGAGACATTGCCATGGAGCTGAAATTACGATTGATTAGATAGCCAGGGGAGACCTGATGCCCACTCTCTCTCATAACGAGGTAGGAGCTGCAAACTTGATGTGCTGCTAAACGACTGGTAAATGACGTTTCTTAGACGCCCGACCTGCTCAAGAACTGGATGACCGGCGCTTCCATGCCAGCACCCATCTCTAACATGACCATCCGCCGGGGTGGCCAAGCTGTCAGTAGCCACGACGTGACGCTGGTCTGGCGGTTCGGCCTCGCCCCCACCCCAATTGCACCGGATCAAGTTGGGGCAGGCGAGATATTCCAGGCTGCCGGGGCTGCGGAACTTCTCCCACTGACGCGGCCTGCCTACCAATTGGTGCTTGTCTACCGGCGTAGGGGTTGGCCCCGTCGACATTTCCGTTGCAGCGTCTTCCCTGCACTGGCTCGTGCATCTCATTGGTCACGTGAGAAAGTCTCGGATGACGTCCACGCATGGAGAACAATTTCTCCCACCCAGACGGCAAAAAAAAGCCATGAATGTGTTTCTATTAACCACCGGCACCCTAACGCCAACTTATCCCACTGAAATCTCTGAGACCATCAACTGTGCCACGATCATATCCAGGGTTCACTTCAGCCAACAGTATTGCGCAAGGCCAATTCCCTGGGTCACTTGAAGGTGCACCGGCAATAGCGAAAGAGCAGGTGGGTGTGTGAGAATCTAGCTAATAAACAGAAACACAAAATTGACATGGGCTACTATGCATCTATTCTTATGATCCATGATCCGTGACCCGCGTGGGCTTTCATCTGTCGTTGTTGATGCGATGCGTCTTCGCCTTGGCCGCACTATTCATTTGTTAGTTTCTACTGCTCCAGCGACACGCCAGCCAGAGAAGGAGATTCAATGTCTTGTGTGACAGAGCGAGTGCCGCTTAAACAATCTTATCTCCATATGTCGCATTGTGCATCCTACGCTCCCGAACCAGAGATTTGGAAGCCCCAGGAAACCTGCGACCTACTGCGACTTGCAACCTGCGACAGGCGGCCTGTGAACAACGTGGATAACTAGAACGTGGATTATGTTTATTCCATATTTGGCGAAAGTTCTCTATCCATTAAACAGTACCAGTGTCAGAAGCACAAATAGCCTGCTCCCAGCCGGCTCAGAACCAAGACCTGTCTATACCTCTACCCTCATCTACTCTCCTTCCCTCCCTTAGACTTTATCCTCAATATTCTTTACTTTAAATTGGAACTCCTCACCTACTTTCGTCTCGGAGTTGTCAAATTCGATTCAACTCGGCACTATCAGCCTCTCTGCCAATACCCTTCCTTTGTGCAACTAAACTGGGTAGCCTTATCTTGGATAAATTGGTATATTGGTCACATTCGATCCCCTGTCATCTAGGCCGCCATTTTTTAATCTATTTGCCTATTACTCTGTCTAATTTTCCTTTCATATCAACTCATCGGCCCACAAGCCCTTAGCACTACGTAACTCTTCTCCCAAATTATCTAAACCAACATTTAGCCTCTTGTTCTGCCAAGGAGACGCACGAATCTACGCTGTACATCTCAGAAATTTAAATATGGCCGATCCCGGGCTCTGGGGCGGTTATAAAGAGAACGGTCGCCTATTCCACTCCTTTTCCAAGGGAAAATACTTCCTGCCATGCGACGAGGTTATTATCTCACCATCAATACTGATAGTGTCGGCTAATACTTTAAACAGGATGAGCAGGACCGTTTAGATATTTATCACAAGTTTTTTAATGTGGCTAGGCACGATGTACTGCATTCGACCCCTTTCACGGCTCCTTTTGCTGGAGCAACTTCACATTCAAAGTTCGGTGCCAAAGGTCCGCTGATATTGGACTTGGGGACAGGAACAGGAATTTGGGCAATAGATGTGGCTGAGTAAGTAGAATGCGGGCGTGCATAGCTAATCCTTGCAGTAAAAAGTGTCGCTTCTAATACTCGTCTAGCAAGTATGTAATGATGCAGGCAAAAGTTTATGGAGTCGATCTTGCCTGGACACAACCTCAAATGTAAGTTTCAAACAACGCCCCATGTCTGTTCAGATTTGACTCCCGCAGTATCCCAGCAAATGTATCGTTTTTGCAAGGCGATATCGATTCACCTTGGCGTGGACTAGGAGAGGATTCATGGGATCTCATACACATGCGGATGCTCAATGGTGGTATAATGGATTGGAAAGAGGTGTATCAAAAAGTTTTCAGGTCAGCATGTCCCTAATACCAACCGAGTACAAACCAAATTCATATTCTTCTCCCAGGCACCTTAAGCCCGGTCATGGCTGGCTTGAGCATACCGAGATTGATATATTCCCGCGCTGCGATGACGGTAGCCTTCCAGCGAACTCAGCATTGATGCAGTGGACCAAGCTAGTTCTGGAAGCTACTGAAGAAGCAGGTCGTCCACTGCGATACAATACCAGTACAGGGTCAATGCTGGCGCATGCTGGTTTAGTTGATATCCGGGAACAGGTTATTCAAGTCCCGCTGAACCCATGGCCAACGGACCCTCACTTAAAAGAGATCGGTAGGTGGTACAATCTGGGGTTCTCTCAGGGAATTCAGGCTTCAGCCTTGGCTCCTCTCACTCGTGTCAAGGGATGGAGTGTTGGTAGGGTGAACAATCTCTGCAACGAAGTCAGGAAGGAAATATGTTCCAAGAAGTATCATGTCTACCACAACATGTGAGTTAGAATAGGAGTCAAAATAACCCTAGACGCTTCATTGACTATGACAGACACATTTGGAATGCCAGACGCCCGACCCTCTGAGCGAAATAGTACGACCGAAGGGCTAGCTTGGGAAAGTTGATCTGTGTCAGATTCATGGGGGCGAAGAGCAAGGCAGCATAATACTCGCCATGTCGTTTGGGAAGCGACGAGGCTGCCGTCGCCCACCACCTAATGATCTGTGCGCGCTTAAATAGCGCCATATAATAAACGAGGCAAGCTACAGTACACATGCAGCAGAAGTAGGCATTGAACGCTAAATCTAATTCCTCGTTAGAATGATGCGACTGAGACACGAAACCTCAAAAATGACTAGACGATGATGCCTGAGATTTTTGAATTGAATAATGACACATGTCTGCTTGTTCCTCAACCAAGTATCTTTATTTGCCGAGTGACTTAATCTTTGCCCTTTCAAATGATGAAATGGGGACCGGTAGGCGAGGGAAGTATAGGCGAGGCAGATATTCTCAGCAGAGATTAGCGACAATGATTAAGGAAGCGGATAGGAAATGATGTACTGGCAGTCCCATGTTAGCCCTTGGTTTCAGCCCCACACGTAGTGTTTTGATTTGCATCAAGGGCCAGAGGAGGTCGTGTTAAATTTAGAAACACTGGTGCATACGCTGTTGGCCGTACAGTAGTTAGGCTACCGGCGGTGAGTGATATCGAGCCGACGGGCTTCTAAGTTGCCATGGCGGAAAGACTTTACGCACTGGGTCCCACTCGACTGGAGGGAGATAGACTCTTATCTCGGACTTTTTAATTTTACGGGTACCAAGACTTGTCTGTGGACACTATCATTGTCCTTCATTAGCACTTGACTGTGAGGTATATGCAGGTCTTCTTCGCCTACAGATCGCGGGTACCTATGCCTCAGGTAGTACATCCCATCCTCTCCAGCTCCCATTCTGCAGTGCCGCCGCTTTCAAGTCTTTATTCGACCACACACTCTGAGGAGCCTTTTGTCATTGATCTCACCTCTCGAGCGTGAAAACGAAGGTCATTGGCGGGTTTATGGTAGCTGCGAAGAATATTAGAAACCGCTGGACACGAGAATCCCAAAGACTAGCCTCAGGGCGGTTGAGGGTGGTGTTGAAGGGCCAGAAATGTCGTTTGGGAGAGTTTTTTTTTTTTTTTTTTTTTTTATCATTTAATGTGTATTCAGCTATCTAGCTATGACACATGACCAGTACTATGTATACATGTGGGATGACTCTTTTGACGTTAGAGACACTCATACTCTGGATTTCATTTGCAAATACCACTATGAGGTATGTTCGCTTACACAAACAGTCGACCCTCCTCCGTTAGTACCCACCAAAGGGAATTTAAAAACCTTTGATTATCCAAGCATGCCTTCGTCATCCATGCATACCAGTGCCGCGAGAAATGTGGTTGTGTTTTGCCGGATTCGAACCAGCGATCTACTGTCTCAAGTGGGATATGTGTCCAAGCTATCCAGACTCTACTTGGCAGACCGGCCAAGATGATGTACCACCACACCATCCAACCATGGCAGTTTTTATAGTGTCGCCTGCACTCTCGCAGCCGAAGACTTGGCACGCACAAAGCTCAATTTGTAAAAACTCCTTTCCAAAACTCAAAATTCCACGCCCGTCGAGACTGTATCCAATCCTCTGCATCATCTTATTAACTTGTCCTGATCCCTCTCACATCCATCCCAAGGAATTGTCTTCCAGATTTGTGCGCCACGCTTTGCTTCCTCCGTCGGGTGTAAATATCGGCGTGGGCGTGTATCTGGCGACCAGCTAAGGCCAGAGAAAGTCGACAAGAGGTGTCGTCATTGGGATGAGGATGTACTAGGTCGTACTTGTAAACTTGATGAGGTTTAGGTAGGAATCGATTTCGTTGGGAGTGAAAGATTGATATGGTGGAGTAATTTGAATCATTGCCTCGTGGGCCAACTTGTTCGGTATTGCGAAGTTTGACTGAACTTGGCTCTGGGAGAATATTTCACTCCCAGGTTCGTAGAGGACACCGCGTACAGGTGTTCAGTCTTGCCCTCCGGTTTGGGAGAGTATATGCTGTAAATTAGCTTCAGTCAACCTGTTCGTGCCGTCTTGGGGTGGGGGGGGGGAATGTCACAGACGCACCGAGAATAGCCGCTCTACTGCCCAGTACAAGAGTAATCCATGGCTCGGAAGACTGCGGATGGAGGGCTGGGAGGTACTGAGTCGTCGTTCTGTGTGTCCAGGTCACGGGACATTGCGTTGAGAAGATTAGTGAGAACTTATTATGTAATCATATATTAGCGTGCTTGTGACATTAAGAGTTTCCTGTCAGGATTATGAACAACTTACATCTGACTTAACGAACTCCACAGGCATCCCGTAATACCAATTACAGGCGTGCTTTGAGTTCCAAGTCGCCGTAAGCCACTTCGCAACCCCTACGACGAACGCACAGTTCCTCTTGTGTGCGTGCGTTGGCTGGGCCGGGGCAGGCTGAGGATGCGGGTGTGGCGATCAGAGATAGTGGCAGGGCAAGGGAGTGGCGGAAAAGAGCGGCGGCAAGGCGAGAACCAGGACAAATTCTCCCGCCGCGCGTCAGGGCCTGTGGGCAGGGGTTTGATTATGTCCTGAGGCAAGTAGGGGAAGTATCGGCGTCATGTATGAGACATGGGGGCCAGGACGGGAGGGGCAGCTTTGACAGGGATGCGCTGTGGGAGGTGGGAACACTAGCTTGGTTCGCGCCGACGTCTTGAGTAGAGCGTATCTCGTACCGTTACCTTGGTCGGGCGAGGCAGTTCTGCCGTGGCCGCCTCGCGACCGCGTGGCTACACCTGGAACTCACGGATCCCATCATCATGAGGTATGGCCAACTGTCGCCGCGCTCAGCTCACCAAGTCACCCTTCGCACTCGACAGCGTGTGAGGGTTAAGCGCGCCCCTTCTCACCTTGCCGCGCGCAAACCATGATTCCTCGGACCGCAGTACCACTAACGCCGAGCCCCTGAACTGGTCGGAGGCGCGCTTCCCGCCACATGCCCCGCCCTCCCGACCGAGTCAGGGTAATTGGGCGGGCTCGTTCACGAATCGCCGGTAAAGATTTCAGGGACCGCCCACGCACGCACTTGACACGATGCCGGGCTGCCTCGGTCGTTCCCGGGCATGGAGCCAGGTCTCACGACAAACGATGGAAATTGCCGTCATATGCCGAGTTGTGGTCGCGTTGCGCGCGCATTCACAACGTATCGCAATGTGCCATCATGCCTCGGACACATATCCCACTCGAGACAGTAGATCGATGGTTCAGATCCGGCAAAACACAACCACTTTTCTCGCGGCGCTGGTATGCATGGATGACGAAGGCATGCTTGGATAACCAAAGGTTTTGAAACGTTCCTTTGGTGGGTACTTACGGAGGAGCGTCGACTGTTTGTGTAAGCAAGCATATCTCATAGTGGTATCTGTGAATGAAATCCAGAGCACGAGTGTCTCAAACGTCAAAAGAGTCATCCAATATGTATGCATAGCACCGGTCATTCGTCATAGCTCCATAGCTGAATACACTTAAATGATTTAAAAAAAAGAGAGGAACTAGATCTTCCTCCTTCGAGCGCCCGAGCAGCCGCTTGATAGTCCAGAAGAATGCGAATCGGTAGGTCTCTCAGTAGTTATTGAATTTGAATTTGAAATCTTTTACGTGACACGGGTAGATGGGCTCAGAAAGCTCATTGCTACCTACATGACCGGCAGTGGAGCCAGAAGCGACAAAAGAAAAGAATGAAAAAAAAAAAGAACAGTATGTGTCTGAGTTACGGTGCCCTGCGCCGCATCCCTATCTTCCACATCCATCTCCTCTCGGGTCAGAAACATCCTCAGCGTGGTCACCTCCCAGCCTATTCATTCTTCGGCAGACTGTAACATCTGCTTGTAGTTAAGAATTGAATGAACTTCTGCCATCCCCTCTCCCCTATCATTTCCCTGGCCCCAGGTGGAGCCATTTTCTCATAGATTCTCCAACGTAGCAGAGCAGGTCGGCACTCTGAAAAATGCCAGGGCCTCAGTGGTTATTGAATTTGAATTTGAATTTGAAATCTTTAACGTGACAGGACGAACCCAACATCTATTTAGACGTGACACGGGTAGATGGGCCCTACGAGCTCATTGCTACCTACATGACCGGCATTAAAGCCAGAAGCGACAAAAGAAAAATAAAATCACAGCAAATGTCTGAGTTACGGTGCCCTGCACCGTATCCCTATCTTCCAAACACCTCTCCTCTCGAGCCAGAAACTATCTCAGCATGGTCACTCCCACCCTGTCAGTTCTTCGGCAGACTGTAGCATCTGCTTATGGTTAGGAATTGGAAAAACTTCTGCCATCCCTTCTCCCCTATCATTTCCCTGACCCCAGGTGGAGTCATTTTCTCACAGCTTCTCCAACGTTGCAGAGCAGGTCGGCACTCTGAAAAATGCCAGGGCCTTTTCTCTCGGCCACAAATGCACATCAGATCTTCATGTTCGGGGTTGAAACGCCGGTGGTAGTCGGCGTAGTCCCCGTGGCCTGTTCTTGCCGCAATAAGACGGTGATACGCCCATCGAGGCAGAGCCAGTTCCGGCGGTCGCTTGCAGCGCATGTAGAGGTCGAGATCTTTGTATCGTTTAGGCCGATACTTCTGCCACCACTCTTCCACAAGCTTTTGGCTCCGCATTTTCACTAGTCTCCCTAGAGCCGCAAAGGTCAGAATTTGCTCGTCTCCGTTGGGCGAAGCTGAGGTTAGTGATTGGTCATTGAGATCTCCCAGGGCTGATTTGGCCAGCTTATCGGCTTCTTCGTTGCCTTGGATCCCCACATGACCAGGTATCCAGTGTATTTCTACACGCCTATTATGTCTCAGCGATGAGAACTTGTCCACCACTGTCTGCGAGGAATTGGATCTTCCTTGTTCGAGCGCTCTGACGGCCGCTTGATTGTCCAGAAGAATGCTGACCGGAAAGCCTTCTCCCACCGCTAGTGCAGCCTCCAAGGCTTTCATAGCGCCTACAACTTCTGCGTCGAATACCTCTGCTCCGGG